CATATTTTGGTGTTTTGTCGAAGATCAATTGGCTGTATGTAGATGCGTTAATTCCATTAACTTTTAATTCTATCTTTTGCACAAACTTTTTGAAGTCCCCTCATATATATTTTCTCTGTTTACTGAAATTTTTATCTGTTGAAACACTGCTCTGTTTTCCTTTGGTACTTTGTCCATGGTTTCCTACAGCTCTTGTTGTTAATTGCCATTGAGTCATTTCTAACTCCTAGCAACCCCGTATAGGGTTTCCAAGGAGTGACTAGTGAGTCTGAACCACCAACCTTGCGGTCCAGTGCTTATCCTACAGCTCCTATTGTCTAGTAGCCCATTGCTCGGGCTTTTACAGGTAAAATTTCTCATTACTGTTCTGGTGTATGGTGTATAATTTCTTACTGCCTTGCCTGGCTTGTAATTGTGTCTGAAAGTTGACCTTTTTTTTTTTTTTTTTAACTTTTTATTGTGACTTGAGTGAAGGTTTACAGAGCAGATAGATCATCAATTTTATTTTCAACAAATTTCGTGTGTTTTGTTTCATATTGGTGATCACAACCCCTTCCACGTAACATCAGTTACGCCACTTTCTCCCTAGGATTCTTGTTTCATTCTACCTCCTTTTTCAAGTGTAACTAAGGGCCACATTCTCAGGTTCCTCCAGTGTCTTTTAGACAAATAAACCTGGTCACCCTTCAGGTCTACAACTGAACTCATCCTCATGGCTCAATTTTCAGCCACCAGCCCCATGGTCCAATTTTTAGTCATACGGTGGTGGTTGTAAGTGCCTTTGAGTCAGTACCAATTCATAGTGACCCTATATAAGTTTTCTGAGGCACGGCTGGTGAGTTTGAACTGCCACTCTTGCAGTTGAAATCGACCTTGAGGTTGTGTGCTTATCCTGTGGCTCCACACCAGTCACACGGTGTTGTTAAGTGCCATTGAGTCCGTTCCCACTCATAGCCACCCAGTGGGCTTCTGAGGAGCAGCTGCTCAGTTTGAACTGCCAACCTAGATAGGTGTAAAATGGGGGACAAGAGCACTAAATACAGTCTTGCTCACTTGAAATAGTCAACTATTGAACGTTGAAAGGTCAGCATTTACGGAAGGACAAAGTTTCGAAGAGCTGAAGAGAATGGAATGGAAGCAAGCCCCATGGGGAAGGAGATAACTGGTGCTCGGGTCAGAGTTTCAGGGTCTCTAGTTGCTTGGGACCAGTAAATTCTATCTTTTTATAATTTTGAGTTTATTCCACTCTATCCTAGTGTGATCCCTATCAGAACAGTTAGTATTTGTAGTCTGGTCTCAGAGTCATGAAGACTGATGTTCACGTGTTCCGTTAGGCCGTGGGACTAATTGGTTCCAAGCATCTTCAGTTTTCATCACTCTTGTTTCCTCCACACCGAGAACGATCACTGTTTGTACCTTGGAATTTACCCCTTCCTATGGTTTGTTGTTGAATGTTGTGCTTTTTACTGTCTATGAACTTCACAACTAATGTTGGGTAACTAACTGTTCTTTGTTCTGTGTGGCCACTGAAATCCCTTCCATTTACTGGGTCATCAGTACAGATTTGCATGAGTTATTGAGGATACTGGAATAGTAACAACAGCAAAAATGCCCAGTTGGATTTTTGCAGATTGGCTGTGTGTGTGTGTTTGGGAATGTGTGAAAACACTCAGCCAGGTCGTTTTGAACTGTGCAATAGCCGTCATTCATTTGCTGCTTATCCAGAACCTGATAGCCATTCAACAGGTGAAAACACTGGGGCTTTTCAGGGTGAACCCACACCTGGCCATACACATGAATTTCTGAATTCTTAGAAGTTATGTATGAAATTTAAAAAACATTTATTCCCAGACTTTTCTGTTTCTTTTAAATGCTTTCAAAAAATGCCCCTGGGTAGCACCTTCATCAGTAGGTTTCTTGTTTGACAAACTAAAGGCTTGCATTTTTGTCTAGTTTTTAAGGTAGCCACCAGTAGGTCAAAATACATGACCACAATTCTTTGAAAATAAGGTTGGTTTCTAACCCTTTAATACTAGTGAGCTCTATCAGGTGGGTCCAGTCCATGGAGAAGAAAGGACATCCTGCTGAGCAAAATGGAGTGTTAGCGAAAAAGAGGAAGGACCCCCAATGAGGTGGATTGGCACAGTGTGGCCACAGCAGTGGGCTCAAACATAACAACAGTTGGGAGGATGGTGCGGGACTAGGCAGGGTTTCATTCTGTTGTGACTAAGGTGCTTCAGGCGGATACCACTCGGCTGGCATCTAGCAACAACAGAACAGCATGCCAGGTTTAAGCACTATTATCTTCAAGGTTGCTACGGAGCCTAGGGACTAGGAGAAAGTGTCAGGGTAAGTTAAACTTCATAGAGTTCTCTCTTACTTATTCCAAGTGCCCTTTTTTGGGACAAAGAATGTGCTTGGTTGGTGGGAACCTTTGATTACTTTCCAGAATTCTTAATTGTTGGCCTGTTTATTTACTTGATTTGCAGACAGACAGACAGGTTTCCAATATCCAGCCCAGCAGCTTTTGCCTTTCCCGTCTGTTAAGTAACAAATAGTGTCGTTCTTAAGGTAATTGTCAATTTATATTGTATACTCCCTTCAGGAATTTCTGTTAGTGGAGAAATGTTTTGTTTTTATTGTTAAATGCGGTTGAGTCAATGCTGACTCATAGCAACCCCTGTATAGGGTTTTCAAGGAGTGGCTGGTGGTTTTAGCCAGCCTTTCGGTCCAAGGCTTATCCTACAGTGCTACACCAGGACTCAATTATACATTGTTGTTGTTGTTAAAGTGCTATCAAGTGGATTCCAACACATAGTGACTTGTTTAGAAGAGTATTAATGTAATGTTAAATGTCTCTTTTCACTTGTTTTGTTTTTGTGACTGTGGAAAAACACTGTTAATTACATGTCAATCGCCCATTCTTTATTGAGGAATCCTACTGTCTATTCTAAAACTTTGAAAGCAATAGATGATATAATTCTTCATCAAAATGATTATTTTTCCTGAAAAACTGTTTTTCAGAAAAAAATGTTTGCCTTCTAATTCCAATTAATAGGAAGCCCATGTTTTTTATCTTTCAGATAATCTCTTCTAGATATGTGATCAAGGAATTACCATCGGAAGAAGACGTTAATCAAGGAGAATTACGTCAACCTGTGATAATAGGAAACCAAAAAAGCTATTGTAGTGACAATATTTACTTCAGTGGTATCAGGGAAAGCAAGTGTGGAGTTGAGAGTCCGTGGGCACGTAAACGAAATTACAAAGGGGTGCCTATGCTCCGTAACAGAACTATAACTATTACAGGAAAGCAGCAGCTTCAGTCCTGGGCTGGTTTCCCACTAAAACAGAGTGTTTCTGTAAGAAAAAGTGCTCATCGATATTCCAAATATAACTCCTTTGTAAGGAGTTTGCTAAAACTAAAATATGGCATAGGCTATTTAGGGAGAAAATACAGAAAGCCATTGAAAAATAAGATTGGGTCCAGCTCTCAGTTACATCTTGCTAAAATGAAGAGATTTCAGTCTGAGACGAAAGTATACGAACGTCATCAAGTTGAGAAGTTGATCAGTAGTACATCCTCCGTTGTGCCACTTCAAAGAACTGGCAAAACCAACATTTATGGTAAATATGGGAAGGTTATTATGCATACGTCATTGCTTACCCAACAGAAAATCCATACTATAGAAAAGTCTTACCGATGTAATGAATGCGGGAAGGCATTCAGCCAGTGCTCAGTCCTCATCAATCATCTCAGGATTCATTCTGAGCGGAGACCGTACAAATGCAGTGAGTGTGACAAAACCTTTACAGATCAGTCAAATCTTACTCAACACAAGAGAATCCACTCTGGAGAAAAACCTTACAAATGTAATGAATGTGGTAAGGAATTTACCAGACGTTCATACCTGTGGGGTCATGAGAGAATTCATACTGGAGAGAAACCTTATAAATGTAATGATTGTGGCAAAGCCTTTAACCGGCTCTCCAACCTCAACAGGCATCAGAGAATCCATACTGGAGAGAAACCCTATAAATGTAATATATGCGGCAAGGGTTTTACCATCAGTTCACACCTTTGGGGGCATGAAAGAATTCATACTGGAGAGAAACCTTTCAAATGTGATGACTGTGGCAAAACTTTTACTGAGCGTTCAAATCTTACTCAGCATAGGAGAATCCATACAGGTGAGAAGCCTTACAAATGTAATGAGTGTGGTAAGGATTTTCCCACACGATCACACCTTTGGGGTCATAAGAGAATCCATACTGGAGAGAAGCCTTATAAATGTAGTGAATGTGGTAAAGCCTTTACTGGGAGTTCTAATCTTACTCAACATATGAGAATCCATACTGGAGAGAAACCCTATAAATGTAATGTATGTGACAGGGCCTTTAGTCAAAACTCAAGCCTTACTATTCATCAGAGAATTCATACTGGAGAGAAACCTTACCAATGTAATGAATGTGGGAAAGCCTTTAAGCAGTACTCTAGCTTCACTCGACACCAGAATTTACATCCAGCAGAGAAACCCTACACATGTGATATATGTGGTAAGGGTTTTATCAGACGTCCTCAGTTTTTAGATCATCAGCGAATGCATAATGGAGAGAAACCATTCAAGGGTGTGTGTAGCCAGGTCTTTAGGCAACAGAATGATGTCAGGATTCACCAAAGAATTCATAGTGGAGAGAATACTCACAATGCAGCCAATGTGGTAAATCGTTTAAACATTTTCCACAAAGAACCAGTCATCAGAGAATTCATTCTGGAGGGAAATAAGTCTATAGTTGTCATTGAAGATTAATAAGCCTCAGATGTTCAATTCTGCAGAGTAAATTACAAGTCAGAATTTTAAAGTTAAGTGTTGAAGGAGCAAGGGCATCTGTAGGGAAATCCAATTGTATTTATAAAAAATTTTTTGTTCAATTTGAGGTTTCTTTAGAAAGCTGTGCATTTTTATTCATGTCTTATCAGCTGAAGGTGTGAAATGTGTTTATGTAATGCCTTTGACACTGACAATTCGTATGTTACCCTGATCTCCAGAAAGGCATCAGCAAGATGAAAGTGTCTACTTCATTAAGTAGTGTTCATTCATAACCATGTTCCTTGGAAAATCTAGGGACTTTGAATTTTAAAATACAATGTTATGTAAATGTGACTGAGGTTGTGAAGGGGACAGATGTAAAGTTTAGGATCTTAATCATCATATTGAATAATGTTCGGAGTCCCTTTTACAAGTTTGTTGGTACAAAGGGCCACTGTGGGTTGTGAAAAGGAGTGCTCTACCAACTGACCATGACACCACAGTCCAGGACATTGACACTGAGCTTTCCATCGTCATAGTGGTGTTTGCTACACGGGACTGCTTGTAAGTGAGAGCGTTAAAAATTTCATTTGCTTTTGATTCCATTTTTACAATGAACTTTTTGAAGACCCCTTGTATGGTGGAATAACAGAGGAAATGATGGCCAGTCTCATTTAAAAGGAAATACCTGTTGTGTTTCAAAAACTAATGTGAAATTCTGCTTGGGAACTGAAGAGAACAGTGATCAGAGAGAGGAGACTGCTAAAAAGAAGGGGACTCCGGTGCATATGTGAGATTCACTTTTAACCACCAAAAGCATTTTGCCCCCATTTTATTTAGAATGTTTAAAATCTCGTTAATTAATACAATTTCATCATTTCTCATTGGGAAGCATGGTGACTCTGTGTGGTAAGCACTGGACGGTGATCCACAAGACCACCAGCCACCCCTCAGGAGACAGATGAGGCCATCTGTCCTGTAAAGATGTACAGCCTTGGAAACCCTGTACAGAGTTGCTGTGAGTCAGAAGCAACTCAGCAGCCCTTAACAACAGCAACAATATAAGCCTGAATTGTTTTTCTTCTATCAAACCTTACTCCCCGTCATTGAGGGGTAGCTACATTTGATAGCACCTAGCGATATTCTTTAGGCTTTCAAGGTTGAATGGCAGCTAGAATCATTCTTTCCATAGTGGAATTAAAAATAAACCATTTTGGAAATGTTTTTTGTTGTTAAATGCTGTTGAGTCAGAGCAAACTGACAGTGACCTTGTGGAGGGTTTCCATGACTGTAAGTCATTGTGACAGGAGAAAGGTTAACTGGTGGACTCACAACGCCACCTCTATAGTTTATATGTAGTCCATGCTTATCGAACACTGCTACACTCCTAATTTCCCCAGTATATACTCATCATTTGCACCCAAATAATTGTCCCTATTAATATTTCTGTGGCTAGAATTGAAAATAGCATAAGTTAGTAATTTCAGAATGTGCCCTAACATCTATGTGGCTATATGATCATAAAATAATATTTTTACATGACTTTTATAGTTAAAATGTACATATCAAAGCATTTGCTTTGCTGGCACCTCTCCCACCTTAATGACACTTAGACCATTTTCATGTTATGCCACGATTATTGCTCCTTTCCTGAAGTATCCCATCGCTGTTAGTGAATTCAGTTCCTCCCCCAGCGAACACTTCTCTCCTCTCTCCCTTCTGTGGTAAGTTACCTTTGGTTTCCATATATTTGCTTATTTTATGTAAGTGAGATGATACTGTGTATGTCCATTTGTGATGTGGTATCAGAGTTTGAGGAAGACTCATTAACTTGTGATATGCAATTGACAACCTTGTTTGCTGGAATTGTGAAGAGGACTTGAAATACTGATGAAGATCAGAGACTACAGCCTTCCGTATGGGTTGTACCTCAATGTAAAGAAAACAAAAATCCTTACAACTGGACCAATAAATAACATCATGTTAAATGAAAAAATAATGAAGTTGTCAAAAACTATCTTTTGCTTGGATTCTCAATGCTCATGGAAGCAGTGGTCAAGAAATTAATGTATTGAATTAGGCTATGTAGCCCTGTGATAATCACTAGACCACAAGGTTGGTGGTTCAAACCCACCAACCCCTCAGAAACCCTACTTGGGATCACTAAGTTGGAACCAACTTGACAGCGCCTAATAACCTGCTGCAAAAGACTTCATTAAAGCGTTAAAGAGCAAATGTATCACTTTGAGGACTAAGGTGTGCTTGACCTAAGCCGTGGTAATTTTTGCCTCATACATGTGAAAGTTGAACAGTGAATAAGGAAGACTGGAGGAGAACTGATGCATTTGAATTATGGTGTTGCCAAAGATTAAAGTACCATGGACTGCCAGAACCAGACACATCTGTCTTGGAAGAAGTGAGGATGGTGAGACGTCGTCTCTTACATGTTGCCAAGGAGGGACAAGTCCCTACAAAGAGGATATGCTTGGAAAACTGGGAGGATTAGCAAAAAAAAAACATGACACCCCCCCCCCACCACCACCAAGAAGATGGATTTACAATGGCAGCATCAATGGGCTCAGACAGAAAAACAATGGTGCGGTTGGGGCAGGACCAGGCACGATTTCATTCTGTTGTGTAAGGTTGCTATGAGACGAAGCTGACTCCGTGGCACCGAACACCAAGTTTACTCAGCATAATATTTTCAGCGTCCAACTATGTTGTGGCCTACGTAAAAACTTAGTTTCTTTTTATGGCGGTGTAATATTCCATTGTGTGTATATACCATGTTTTGTTTATCGATTCACATGATTTCCACCTTTGAATTAGTGTGAAAAGTGCTCTAACTGTACACTGATGTACAGGTTTCTATTCCTGCTTTTATGTATTTGCAATATATTCTTAGGAGTGGAATGGCTGATTCATAAGGTAGTTGTATGTTCTGAGGCACTGCCAACCTGCTTTCCACCGCAGCTACCAGTTTATGTGCCTGTTTCTTCACAACCTCACCTTTTTTTTTTTTTAATGCTCTATAACAAGGCTATAAGAACTATAGACCCCTGGGTTAAATCTGGTCTGTGGCCTGTTTCTGTGCAGCCTGTGAGACCAAGTGGTTTTAACAATTATGAGTATATATACATATATATATATATGTTGTTTTTATGTATTACAAAACATTTGCCGATTCAGCAGGACATTATTTTAAGAGTTTTCAGCTCAGTACAATAAGAAAATGTGGGCTTCTCAACAACTATAAATCATAACATCTATGTGAGTAAGTCAAAACATAACTATAAAATCACAGAAACCCTTTATTAAGACAATGAACTGCATTGCTTCTCGATAAATCCACCATTTAGGTCTAAATGCTACAGAAGGCTGTGTTTTCATCTTTAACCCTTCCCTCAAGAATACTGCACTCTTGCATTTACACCATGTCAAAACTTGACCATTAGCATCCATGAAGGACTAAAACTTCTTTTCAATATTTTAATTTGGGGAACAAGTCTGAAGTGGCAAGGTCATGGCTGGAGGGTGGATGGGGTAAGACAACCCTAACATTAGAACAAGCTGCGAACTACAAGGCTGGCAGTTGAAATTCACCAGCTGCTACTTGAAAACCCTGTACAGGGTTGCTGTGAGTCAGAACCAACTCAATGGCACTTAACATAGCTAACCCAGTGATACTAATTAATGAATTTATCTGCAGCCGTTCACTGATCACATGAATATGTTGTTTAAATAGTATAAATCTACATCTATAAACTGGAAGCCTAGTAGCAAGATTTTTTAGACAACCTTGTGTCACTGGTATACATGGAAAAATAACCAAGAATCTTGAAAGCAGTGACAAACCAATGCATGCACGACAGCCAAGCAGCAAGCACATGTCCACCAACTGATGATGGTCAAAAAACAAACATGCAAATGAATACTCAGCCATAAAGACATGACGTGTTGGTACATGTTAACATGGATGAACCTTAAAAACGAGTGAGATGGTCTCAAAACAACATGCATGATGAGGCATTGAGTTTGTGAGAAGTTAATGTTTTCCAACAAATATTTTGATGCCCCCTTATTGTATGGTGTTACATGAAGAAAACTAGAATTGGCAAAAAGTACAGAGACCAAACAGTGGTTACTGAGCTTGGGACTGATTGGCTACATCATTGGGAAGCAGTGAATTTCTGTATATGGTGGTGGGGAGTTTAGCAGTGCTTATGGGTAATGGTTGCAGATTAGTGTACTGTCACTGAATTGTACACCTAAGAATGTTGGATTGGCAAATGTGTTGTATGTATTTTTACAACAAATGTATCTTAATGATAATTCAATATTAACTGAGAATTAGTGTGAGACTTAGATAACATTAAAATAGAAGAAAATATGCAAAGTGGAATCTGAAATGCCAGAAATCTTGTAGTAGTTTCAATAAAATGAAAGCGAGATGAATTTGTCTCTGGAAATTATATTAAGTGCCGTCGAGTCAGTTCTGGTCCATAGCCACCCTGTATAGAGTTTCCAAGGAGCAGCTGGTGAGTTTGAACCACCAACTTTGTGCTTCAAAGTGACTGCAGTCCAGTGCATTAACCAAAATGAGGGAAAATGTCACAGGATGTACTTGAACTTGACCACCAACCCATGGGTTGTCCCTGCTGTCTGGAACGCTCAATTTTAAAGTTAATTTTCCTTTTAAATGCTACTTCTCTGACTTTCAAAAGTGAAAATGTTGGTGTCCGTAGAGTTGCTTCTGCCTTATGGCAGAACACAATGTTGCCAGGTTGAGCATCTCAGTATAATCAAGAATTTAGAAGTATTTTTAATGTGGACAGTTGCTGTCTCCATTAAAACTCTGAGAGTTAACAAAGGAATACAGTTGAATTGCTGCTCAGATGCAAATTTTCTGCACAGAATTAGAAAACTTGATTTTAACTCCATTGGTTGCATCAATGTATGAAGGTTTATAGAAACAACTAATTCTGCAAATAT